AGATTAAATGAGATGATGGAAAGTGCTTAGCAAAGTGACTGCTTTTGGCTGCAAGAACAATAAAGTCATTCAACAGGGCTTAGGGCAGTGGCTTTCAAACTTACTGGCTACAACCCACAACAAGAATTAGATCTTACCTTGTTACTCAGTGTACACATTAAACGTCATCACAGGACTACTGCGTGAATCAGACTGGATAATGCATATGGCCAAGCTTCATACAGTGTTCTAGAGCACTGGAAAATAGTGCTGGATCTGAATTCAGGGTTTCCCGATAACATGCACAAACAGTGCTGGCATTTCAGTATGCGTCTTCCTCAATCCCCCACATTGTTTTGATTTTCTTACTTCCTTTTTCAGAATCCCATAGAGTTTGCAGAGAGGAGGAAAAAAAGACTGAGGTATGTGAAAAATCTGAGTGTACGCACCCTTACTCTGCACTAGTCATTTTGAACTTCATTATACTTAACCCATGTAAGTGCTGCCGGAATTGTTCAGTACCAAACTGTTCATCTGGGTGAAGGTTGGACCAGAGGATTGTCTATACCATTTTGTAAAGAAGCACACTCTCCTCCTCCTCCCAGATCATGTACCTGGTATTTTACCGAATATTCTATCTAGACAATAGGCCAGCTTCCTCTGTGATAAATTATAAGCCCCGGTTTCTTAAGCTGGTTTTCTACATGAGAGATAAATACACTATAGGAATGATTATTCCATTACTGCCCTTTCATCATTCTGTAGCAAATTCAAATAACAATAGCAGAAGATTGTAACTTTTAATAATATTCCCTGCCCTTTGATGAGTTATGAGCTAAATTATACGGGCTCAATAAGCTTCAGCTAATGACGTTTTTGTATGCTACAAACTCATGCAGAGGGAAGTTTTACGTATCTCTCTTAGCTTTTTCACCTGGGGATGCTCGATTAAAAACAGCATCCATTGGTTTGGCACAAGATGCACAGTGGGTGATAACCTAATTGTGTGAATTCTTCTTCACTGTTCTTAGATTCCCAAACTCCTTGGCTAGGTTTGGTGAGCAAGGCCCAAGGAGGCAGATAAAAGGACTTCAGTGTTATTTGACCATGCATTTTCCCCATGGCAAAATACCATCTAGGCAACCACTGGGACATTTGGGAAATGTATTTTTGACCTTTGTTTATGCCTTGCAGCACCCTCCCCCCTTTTTGTGGTGGTTTAGGTGTTAACCGATATACTGAGGAAGTCAGTCACTTCATCATTTTCAACATGTATTCTTACTGTCTGCACCAGTTATATGCATTAAAATGTTTTTATTATTCCTGAGACTGCACATCCCCAACACCAAACTCCAGACAGATTGCATCAGCTTAAAGATAACACTCACTTATAATCAGACTCATTACACTTGAATTTTTAGCTCACGCAGATACACAACAGAAATTATCACTTGAAAGCCATTTGTTTATGTCTGTTAGGCCTACTCACAGACGTCTTGAAACTTAGAACCCTGGAAAGCATTCCATGGTTCTAGGCTGGGATATTCCGGCCCTGAGGGGGAATGTTCTAGTACCACCCACTGTGGCACATGATACACACTCAACCTGCCCCTTAAGATCCTAGTGAGAGTCAGGAGTTGTTAGCTAGGATTTGCCTAACTGCTTTGACAATAAATATGTGCCTCAAAACCGAGCTATATCTGAGTTCCCCACAAGCGAATCTTAACTGTATGAAGCCACGTATGGATGAGCTAGAAGCATGTTCTCAGTTATAAGGAATGGATAACCATTTTAAATTGATCATATGATCTTCCTATCACAACCTAAATGGGCCTCACTAAGCAACATCTTCTGTTATCAAATAGGCTTCCAAGAAAAAAAGACCTCAGATCATTTACTGTCAAATGCAAATCCTAAGTTTTGACAAGTCTTCCAATGGGAATTGGCTCATACTCACCATCTCTGTAATTCACCTTGGAGGGTTCACCCAGGAGGTATATTGCTTAAAACTTAGACCATAGATGCATTATTGAAATGAGGGATTGAAAAATATGAATATGAAACTTTTACATGCTAAAATCATTGTATATAGGATTTTTTTTTTTTGAGGGAATTCTTGGGTCTTCCTCTAAAGACTACTACCTCACCCTACTCAGACATGAAGAGGTGGCAGCCATCCACCATGTTTATTTTACCAGCACATAAGATATGGAACACATAAGGGAACTTCACAAGGGTACTTTTCTTTTAGAGAAATTTTCATCACACATGATTTATAGGTGTCTCGCAAAGTCTTCTTCTTAAGTAGACTCCACACCCAGCGTGGAGCCCAACGTGGGGCTTGAACCCATGACCTGGAGATCAAGACCTGAGGTGAGATCAAGAGTTGGACACTTAACCAATTGAGCCACCCAGGCACCCCTCTAAAAGTTGTTTTAAATACAGAAAACCATTTTGTTCACAAGACGACATATTGGAGTTAAAATGAGATAAATGGGAATTTGCTTCTATTTTACAACTTTGCAAACTAACCACAATAGAAGCACTCTGGATGCAGAACAGTTTTTGGATGTATTTAGACAGAGAGCTATGGGTGCCTTGATTTTACTAAGAGGTTGTGAACCCACCTATTTGTCAAGGCATAGGAATCTGTCCAAACAGATACCAGATATGTGTTCAGTAACGTTTAGGTCCTTGCCAGTGAACAGGATCACAACATTGCACTGCTGCGGGTCCTCTTTAATCAAAAGCTTGGTTAGAGAAACAGTCATGGAGGGTTGCCTGAAGGATATATCGTGCACTCATGCCTTTATACTTTCTGATTACCGTAACTGCCTGGACCACGCTCTCAGCTCCTTGATGACTGGCACTTCCTATCACATAACCTACCTCTGGGCATCTGCCAAAGGTACTAGAAAAGGTAAGTGTGTTCCAAACTTACTGTGTGTGTGTTGTAGGACTGTTTTGAGAGTTTTGAAGTTTCTGAATACATAAGTTTAATTTCCTAGAGAAATTTATTTCCAGGCCTTAGTACTAGGAAACAATGTATTTCTCCTAACTTTAAAAAGAAAACTGTTAGAGTGGGCTGCCATGTCTGCTCAGACACCTCTTCGCGCCTGGTGGGTCGGACGCTCTGATCCCGAGCTTTGTCCTCCTCCAGCAATTCTGCAGGACCTTATGGGTAACTTCTGTGTACGGACTTGACCCTGGTGTTCATACGTTAGTTCTCATGCGCCCTTCATTTTAAAACAACCTTTGTCTTCGTATTTGAGGGAGTTTATATACATTCCTACAAAATCAGTAAAGCTATGGGACTATGAGCATTATCAGATATTCTATGATACTTATTACTATGTTGCAAAACAAGGGCTCTTCACATGTTGTAGATGATGAGGGCCTTGTCTTATACTGGTTTTGTCCACAAAGTGTACAGTGTTAAGAATATGCTCTGGATATCAGAACCCTGGGCCCTGGGAGTCTGGCTCTGGAAGTAGCTTCGTGAAGGTCCCTGGAAACATCATAAGCACTCCAAGCCTCCGGGCTAAAATGAAGCCGTGGTAAGGAATTATTCTTCTCTTGGTCCCTGTAGCCCTATGGTCTGAATTCAAACAGTTTGTTTACATGGAGTGTGAATTTGCCTTGTTCCCCTGAGGGCACTTTTCACTGGAGGACTAGCCCCACTGCCATGCATGGGATACCTGAAGGGGGAAGGAAACACTGGGACACAATCGCTTTGTGCAATACACTTTTATTTTCCTTTTACCTTTGCAGTCATCTTTGAGTAATCGTTGTGTAAACAATAGAATGGAATGAAATTACATTAAATTGTATGCAAATGGCTCTAGAACACCTCAATTCTGACAAGGCAATTATAAATAACTTTTTCTTTCCTTAGTAATATATATTTGCTTTTTAAAGTACATTAAAGAGCTGCCATATCTAGGGTTAGCTAGGAAAGAGCAACGGTACCATCCTGGGAGCCCACCTCCCTGACAGTTTAGACTCCAATTTCGAAAATCCTAAGGTTTACTATTCTGTAATATGTAGTCAAGCAGAGGGCTACTTGGGTTGAAAGTATTTATTCTTGAAACTTAACAGCATTTTACCTTTTTAGTCATTGCACAAAACCCTTTCTATTTTTCACTCCATCTGGGTGTTTTCCGAATTTCAAGTAAAACTCAGATTCTGGTAGCTTCAAGTTTATCAACTTTGGAACAACAAATCCTATCAATCACTTAAGGAGAAGTCAAGTCGGAGAGGGGTATATAATGAGCAGTCTAAGAGAATGGCAACATTTTCTATAGCATTCTATACGTTCCAATGAAGCAAAACTTACATATGCCACTTGATGTAGAGGAAATTTTAGATCTGAGACTATTCCAGAGTAAAGCAGCCTCAGGCACATTCTTAATACGAAAGTTTGCAAGGCACCTCCCTCTCCGGAGACAATTAGATTGTGGATTGGTTTTTCGGCAAACAAACCAAACTAAGAAGCATCCTAGTTCCTAATTCAGTCATTTCCCAAAATCAAAAGTTATAAATACTCCAAAGATAGACCTGAAATTTTTTGTTTAAATAACAAGAGATTAACTGCAAGAAGCATATAATCAAAAACTTTTCTTCTTATAGCTAAGGTGTGTAATGCATAAATATATGAAAAATAAAATTCACAGTCAGTTTTAAAACTAGAATTCAAGTTTGGCTAATAAATCTTAATTTTATAAGTATATTAATTTCTAAATACAACATAAAAGAGGCAGTATTGTCAGATGTACAATTAAAGTAGAACAGAAAGAACAATGAGGGAAGAAATAGGCTTCTGATAGAAAAAATTCCTTTTGTTGCCACTAAATAGGACCACCTGAGTGTATTTCAGATTCTTTTCACTTAAGGGATATCCGAATTGATTGCTAAGAATATTAAATAGCTTTTGGAAACATTAGCAACAGTCTTGCAGCTGTGGCATTTGCTTGTTCTCATACTGTGGATTGCTAGAGAATGAAGCAGAACTCGGAGTGTTGTAAGGTTAAAAAAAACTTTTTTTTATCCCATTTCATTGAAGCCAGACTCTTCACAATCTTCTGATTTTGTGGGAACTGGGAGTGAGGGGGTGGGAGACAGGGTGGGGGAAAGAAGATTGAGGGGAGTGTTGAGGTGGGGAGCATGACAGATCAGGGAGAGGTCAAGGGACATACATCAGCTGACACTCAATTGAGCAAACCCGATCAGCTTCACTTCATCAGGAATCTCCGCCCCATCACAGCCTGAAGCCTGAAAAGGGAAAAAGACACCTTCAGTGCCAATTGATCCAAGCAAAGGCACAGTCTGTAGGGGGCCAGTGTCCCATCTCCTCCAGGACAGAGAATCACCCTCTTGAATGACTGCAGTAACAGATCTGGTCATGCTATCAAGTGCAGAAAATAGAGGGGAAGGGACTTGTTCCCATTAAAACACCACAGTCTCCAGGCTTAAAGCTTTGAAATTGCTAATAACTGCCAAGAAAGTGATTTTAAATCTACTTTCAAATTAGAGTTCCTTAATCATTTTAAAGGATTATGAGAAAATACTTTGGAATAAATTTAGCCAAAAAGGTGAAAAACCTATACTCTGAAAACAGTAAGAAAGACACTAATGAAAGAAGCTGAAGACACAAATGGAAAGCTATACCATGCTTATGGACTGCAAGAATTATTAAAATATCCATTTTACCCCATGCAATCCCTCTCAAAATACCAAGAATATTTTTCATAGAACTAGAACAAATAATCATAGTTAGTATGGAACCACAAAAGACTTCAAAGCAATCTTAACAACAAAGCAGGGAGGTATCACAATCCCAGATTTCAAGATATACTTCAAAGCTATAGTAATCAAAATAATATGGTACTGGCACAAAAAACAGGAGCACACAGATCAATGGAACATGATAGAGAGCCCAGAAACACACCCATACCTATATGGTCAATTAATTTACAACAAAGGAGGCGAGAGTATACAATGAGGAAAAGACGGTCTCTTCAATAAATGGTGCTGGGAAAACTTGACAGTCACAGGCAAAGAATGCAAAGAATGAAACTAGGCCACTTTCTTATACACAAAAAATAAACTCCAAATGAATTGAAGACCTAGAACCACCAAAATCCTATAAAAAAACATAGGCAGTAATCTCTTAGACATCAACCTTAGCAACAGTTTTCTGGATCTATCTCCTCAGGTAAGGGAAACAAAGCAAACAAACTATTGGAACTACACCAAAATAAAAAGCTTTTGCATAGTAAAAGAAATCATCACCAAAATGAAAAAAGGCACCCTGCTGAATGGGAGAAGATGTTTGCAAATTCTGTATCTGATAAAGGGTCAAAAATCCAAAATATGACTCTCACAACTCAGTAACAACAAAACCCCCCACACAGCCCAATAAAAAATGGGCAGAGGACCTGAACATTTTTCCAAAAACGACATACAGATGGCCAACATACGCAGGAAAAGATGTTCAGTGTCACCAATCAGGGAAATGTAAATCAAAACCCAATAAGATATTACACCTCACACCTGCCAGAATTGGCTAGTATCAAAAGACAAGAAACAACAAATGTTGGCAAGGATATCAAGAGAAGGTAACCTTTGTGCACTGTTGGGGGAAGGCAAGTTGGTACAACCACTGTGGAAAAGAGTATGGAGGTTCCTCAAACTAAGAATAGAAATACCATTAGGATCTGTAGTTCTACTACTACAGATTTACCCAAGGAAAATGAAAACACTAATTTGAAAGGATATATGCATGCCTATGTTTACTGCAGCATTATTTACAGTAACCAAGATATCTATGAAACCAACCTAAGTGTCCATCTACAGATAAATGGATAAAGATGTGGAAAATATATACAGTGCCGTATTACTCATCCATAAAAAGGAATAAGATCTTGCCATTTGCAACAAGGATGGACCTAAAGGAGATTATAAGTGAGATAAGTTAGCCAGAGGAGGACAAATATAGGATTTCATTTATATGTGATATCTAAAACACAAAACAAAAGAACAACAATGAAACAGACTCTTAAATACAGAGAACAAACTGGTGGTTGACAGGAGGGAGGTTTTGGGGGGGAGGGCAAAATATGTGAAGGAAATTAAGATGCACAAATTTTCGGTTATTAAAAAAATTATGAAAATGAGCAAAAGTGATTTAACAGTCACTGAGGGTAATGTGGTTTTTACCAAAAGGCATCCTCTATAAAACTGGCCAGAAAAAAAGTGGTTACCAAGTAGCAGAAGGGCGCATGCTAGATAACTTATTTTTCCATAACAGAATTTTGTTTATATTATTTTAGGACATTTATTGCCTAAAACTGGCCCAAATTATAGTGTGTCAAATTCTTTGATTTTTCTTCATCAAACCTCTCACTTGTCCTCATTCAAAAGTTTTGTTTTGTTTTGTTTTGTTTCTCCCTCCCTCTCTCTCACACACACACACACACAGCACTCAGATCGCCATTCCAGGCTGCATCTTCAGAGTGCATAAACCAGAATCAGACAATGATGTAAGTACAAGTGGGGAGAAAAAAGTTTGATAAATGACTGGGGATGGGCAATTAATCACCAAGGGACCATACAAACCTTTTCTTGGCCTAATTCCTGCAAAATTATTGTCAAAACAATTAGTTTCCCATGTAAAAAATGCCTTTTCCAATCATCCCAATGAACCTGCTTTGCACTGCTCCAAAAACCAGTGCATAAATTCTGTCAACCCCAACATTCTCCCTTACAATAAGCAGCTAATTAGAATACATAACAAGTATTTTTAAGTAATTATCTTTCAAATAATGGTGTCAGTACTGATGCTTACATAAGAAAATCAATAGCCTAAAGGGTAGAAATATTAGTTGGCATTTTAAAAATTTACTTTGTGCCTCTCCAATGATTTCTCTAGTTTTACTTGACAAAATATTCAGCAAAGTGTAATTTTCACTGTGTGTGTTGTCAGGGGCAGTAAGATCAGAAACGTTCCTTTCCCTATTCCCTATCACCTTTAACAAAGTGGTATAGGCACAGAAGGCTTTTTAGCTATTTTCCCATGGGTGTTTGTCATACAAATACTGTGACACTCACCCCCTACCCATCACCAATTTTCTTGTTCCACAACCACTGTTTGTGAATCTCCCTAAACCTTTCTTTCTTCCCCCCGCTACTGCTAACATCATTTAACTTAATGCAGTGAATGGGGGCAGACACAATGTGTGTAATTAATAGGCAAATGACAAACACTGCAGGAGCAAGGGTGGCCACCGGCAGTGACAAGGAGGGACTAGCCAATGGGAAGCACATCAGTGCATGTCGAAGATACATCAGAAATTTGGCAATGGAAATAGCAGGAGGTTGAAATGATTAGAGATAAAAACAAAATATCCAGTAGTGGTTAAAAGAAAAAATCTGAAATCCTTCTTGTGGAGAGAAATGGAAATGAGAATTGACAACGCAAGTGGGTGATCAAACCAGTGATTATGGTGGGTACAGCACCCAGGGAGTCCATCTCTCACCCTCTGTCCCAGTGCCTCCTGTGCGTACACTGGAACATTTGGTTTCCTGGCAGAGGCACAGGCCAGGTTGTCTGGCTTTCATTCAGGTACTCAGCTCTTCTTCCCCTACTACCCTGCTGACTCTCAACAAGGCTGAGTCCTTGTCTCACTCACTGTGGCCTGCAAAACACTGAGGGCAATATGCAAATGATCCTGGATTCTACAGCAAAGGGACTAGAGACCCTTAACGCAGCAGTTCTCAGACTTCTTGGTTTCCAGTACCCTTTATACTCTTAAAAATCATCACGGACTTCAAAAGCTTATGCTTTTTAAAAAAACCACTCACCATGATCAAGTGGGATTTATTCCTAGGATGCAAGGGTGGTTCAATATTCATAAATCAATGTGATAGATCACATCAATAAGAGAAAGGAAAAAACCATATGATAATTTCAATGGACACAGAAAAAGCATTTGACAAAGTACAACATCCATTTATAATAAAAGCCCTCAACAAAGGGAACATGCCTTAACATAATAAAGGCCATCTGCGAAAAACCAACAGCTAACATCTTTTAAAAACAGAGCTTTTCCCCTAAGGTCACGAACAAGACAAGGATGTCCACTCTCACCATTTTTATTCAACATAATACTGGAAGTCCTAGCCACAGCTGTCAGACAACAAAAAGAAATAAAAGGCATCCAAATTGATGGATGAGGAAAACTTCCACTATTTGCAGATAACTTGACACTATATATAGAAAACCCAAAAGACGCCACAAAAAACTGCTAGAACTGATAAATTCAGTAAAGTTGCAAGATACAAAATGTACAGAAATCTGTGGCATTTCTATACACCAATAATGAAGCAGCAGAAAGGGAAACTGATAAAAAAAAATCCCATTTATAACTGCACCAAAAATAAGATACCAAGAAATAAAATACTGATGAAAGAAACTGAAGACAACACAAAGAATGGGAAAAACATACCATGCTTATGGACTGGAAGTACAGATACTGTTAAAATGTCTATGCAACCCAAAGCAATCTATACATTTATTGCAATCCCCATAAAAATACCACTGGTATTTTTCACAGAATTAGGACAAAAGATCCTAAAAATTTGTGTGGAACCACAAAAGACCCTGAATAGCCAAAGCAAGCTTGAAAAAGCAAAGCTAGAAGCATCACAATTCTGGACTTTAAGTTAAATTACAAAGCTGTAGTAATCAAAACAGTAGGTACTGGCACAAAAACAGACACGTAGGGGTGCCTGGGTGGCTTGCCCAGTTAAACCTCTGTCCTTTGGTTTCAGCTCAGGTCATGATCTTGTAGTTGTAGAATCGAGCCCCGAGATGGGCTCTACATTCAGTGTGGAGTCTGCTTAAGATTTTCTCTCCCTCTCAAATAAATAACATCTTTAAAAAAGAATAGACCTCAATGGAACAGAATAGAAAACCCAGAAATAAACCCACAGGTATATGTCAATTTATCTTCAACAAAGCCGGAAAGAATATCCAATGGGAAAGTCTCTTCAACAAATGGTGTTGAGAAAACTGGACAGCCACATGTAAAAGAAAATGGACCACTTTCTTACACCATACACAAAAATTTGAAACGGATTAAATATCTAGATGTGAGACCTGAAACCATAAATATCCTAGAAGAGAACACAGGCAGTAACCTCTTTGAAATCGGCCACAGCAACTTTTTTCTAGCTCTGTCTCCTGAGAAATAAAAGCAAAAATAATCTAT